AGATTATACGGCTTGCCAAAGATACATAAAGAAGATACACCTCTTCGTCCCATTGTCTCTACTATCAACTCCCCCACCTATAAATTGGCTCGTTTTTTTGTCTGAAATCCTACGGCCTTTCACTGGAAAAACCACCTCTGCGGTACTAAACTCTACTGACCTGGTATCGACAATCAAGGGGATTGCCCTGTCCCCAGACGACCTGCTTGTCAGTTTTGATGTGGTTTCCTTATTCACCAAGGTTCCTGTACCTGACACCATCGCAATCATTGAAGACTTGGTTCATCAAGGACTGAATGCTGGGGTACCCCCCTGGTGAGACACTGCTTAACCAATACATACTTCACCTGGAATGGAACTTTCTACAAGAAAACTGAGGGCACCCCAATGGGCTCCCCCCTATCTCCGGTTGTAGCCAACATCTTCATGGAGAAATTTGAGACTGACGCCATCCAGACTGCCACTCTACGCCCGACCTTATGGAAGAGGTACGTAGACGACACTTTTGTCATCTGGCCACATGGCCGGCCTGCTCTAGACCAATTTCTCGACCACATCAATTCCATACACCCAGCCATCAGATTCACCATGGAAGTCGAAAAAGATGGCAAGCTACCCTTTTTGGATGTCCTAATTAAAAGGAGACCTGATGGTTCAATGAGCCACTCTGTCTACAGGAAAGCCACCCATACGGATGCTTACCTAAAACCGGATTCCCACCACCATCCATCCCAGAAAAATTCCCTCATCAAGACTCTATACCATAGAGCCCAATGCATCTCCGACCAGGAACACATTGCCAGTGAACTCAAACACGTACGCCAAGTTATTAAGGCTAATGGTTACTCCGACTACACAATCCGCAAAGCCATCACTCCAACCATCAAGAAGGATCCTGTTGAGGAGCCTTTCAAGACCATCACCTTACCCTACATTGCTGGGGTCACAAAAAAGATCTCCAAAATCCTGATTAAACACAAGATCCAGGTCCGATTCAACACAGTACATAAAATCCCTGATCTGGTCCCGTCTGTAAAAGATGTGGTTCCAGACATACAGTATCCTGGCGTCTACAAACTAAGTTTCCTCTGTGGTAGCAGTTACATTGGGGAAACCAAACGACATGTCTCGGACCGCATCCGTGAACATAAAGCAGACCTGAAACACGGTAGGACAAACACCTCAGCCGTGGCAGATCACTGTTACAACTCAGTGGGCTCACATGACATTGACTTCTCCAAGACAGAGGTTCTCTGCAAGCCATCTGGCTATCATGAGAGATTCGTTCATGAGGCGATCCACATATACAAACACAGAGACAATTTCAACCGAGAAGATGGATTATGGCTTAGCAATCATTGGAAGGATGTAATAAACCATTTCGGATCTTAACTGATTGTTGTTCACGTTTACGGTGACTTTCAGACCACTCACTGGCATTGCATTCTCCGCAGGGAATGGATTCTTTGCTCCGCTGCAAGTTTTTCCCTCCATGACTCACCCATTGACACGACGGTCAATGGTACAGTGTATAATAACAAATATGCTTAATACAATGTACAAAGTAATATATAGTATCGTAATTGTATATTAAACATATAGCAGTGTGATACACATTAGGGTGGGTAGAATAATACATAGTGTTATATTAAAATGTATAAATGTATAAGGTGGTTTATAGCAATACAGTATATAATTTAACGTTGGGTTTATCTATGGCAGTATATAGTACGGTGTATTAATCTTAACTTTGGAGCTTTCGTGACTGCAGGAATTATTCTTTGGTTCTTTTGGTAAAGTCACGTATAAAGAAAAAATAATAAATTAAATAATAGCATACGACGTTTCGATTGCAACACAAGCAATCATCATCAGGTATAATGAAATAGCGACATAAAATCTAACCAGAAAAAATTATAGACAGACATATAAGCAGACAGATATCACCAAGATACACAGAGCGGGCAACACAGGTACAGAGAGGGGTGATCGTCTCTGTGGGGTGGCCTTAAATAGACAGAGGGGGGCGGAGGCAGCGAGAGGGAGGGGTTAGAGACAAAATTTACATGTCAATGAGTACAAAAAGAAGTGAGCAGGCTTAGGGGGAGAAAAAAACACACTAAAATGAAATAACCTAGCAAAATATCGAAATGTTATGTAAAACGACACAGAGAGTCGGTCAACACACAATTAACGCATAGCCTGGTCGATTACATTTTTCAAAGATGGCTAAGTTAGAATTTAAGTGTGAAAATTTCAAAGAAAGACAAAACATAAAAACAAGAGGAACGGAGACACACAGACAGAGCAGAACCTAAGAACGACAAAAAACGAGTGTAGACAGAAAAAATTACACTAAATAAACAGGCAGAGAGAGAGAGAGAATAAAAAACCCAGAGAGAGAGAAAAAATGTAAACTTGGAACTTCCCCGTAGAAGTGGTTCAATCTTAACTTTGGAACTTTCGTGACTGCAGGAATTATTCTTTGGTTCTTTCGGTAAAGTCACGTATAAAGAAAAAATAATAAATTAAATAATAGCATACGACGTTTCGATTGCAACACAAGCAATCATCATCAGATATAATGAAATAGCGACATAAAATCTAACCAGAAAAAATTATAGACAGACATATAAGCAGACAGATATCACCAAGATACACAGAGCGGGCAACACAGGTACAGAGAGGGGTGATCGTCTCTGTGGGGTGGCCTTAAATAGACAGAGGGGGGCGGAGGCAGCGAGAGGGAGGGGTTAGAGACAAAATTTACATGTCAATGAGTACAAAAAGAAGTGAGCAGGCTTAGGGGGAGAAAAAAACACACTAAAATGAAATAACCTAGCAAAGTATCGAAATGTTATGTAAAACGACACAGAGAGTCGGTCAACACACAATTAACGCATAGCCTGGTCGATTACATTTTTCAAAGATTGCTAAGTTAGAATTTAAGTGTGAAAATTTCAAAGAAAGACAAAACATAAAAACAAGAGGAACGGAGACACACAGACAGAGCAGAACCTAAGAACGACAAAAAACGAGTGTAGACAGAAAAAATTACACTAAATAAACAGGCAGAGAGAGAGAGAGAGAATAAAAAACCCAGAGAGAGAGAAAAAATGTAAACTTGGAACTTCCCCGTAGAAGTGGTTCAATCTTAACTTTGGAACTTTCGTGACTGCAGGAATTATTCTTTGGTTCTTTCGGTAAAGTCACGTATAAAGAAAAAATAATAAATTAAATAATAGCATACGACGTTTCGATTGCAACACAAGCAATCATCATCAGATATAATGAAATAGCGACATAAAATCTAACTAGAAAAAATTATAGACAGACATATAAGCAGACAGATATCACCAAGATACACAGAGCGGGCAACACAGGTACAGAGAGGGGTGATCGTCTCTGTGGGGTGGCCTTAAATAGACAGAGGGGGGTGGAGGCAGCGAGAGGGAGGGGTTAGAGACAAAATTTACATGTCAATGAGTACAAAAAGAAGTGAGCAGGCTTAGGGGGAGAAAAAAAAACACACTAAAATTAAATAACCTAGCAAAGTATCGGTGTATGCTCGTGTGATGTAAGAGAATAAAGTTTAGATGGAAGCATATTATATAATTTTTACGACGTAGAATTGTAATGTATTACTTGCTGTTAGTAACTCAGCTTATTGTAGAGTATAGTAAGTATACTGATGGTGCTATGCAGTTTATACTTTAGTTTTTTATGTAGTTTATACTTTAGTTTTCTACGTGGTTGTTTAGTAACTGCAGCTACATACTATTAACATTCCTTTCCTTTGTTAATGCTACTCCCTGCACCCTCCCTTGGTGCTGCTGATCCTGCATAATGCATGGGCATAATATGACTTTGAAACCCCCCCCGCCCACCTCCTACGCATTTACCATGAATATGCTAAATTCCTCTTGATATGCACATTCTTTTTGTTAAGGCGCTCTTCTTCCACCTCCAACCCAGCTTATATATAAGCTCCTAGCTTGGCAGTGTCTCATTCTTCACCTGAAGACGGCTGCTTGCGTTGTAGCCGAAACGTCGTGAGAATTACTTTATTTTATTATGTTTTATTTTTATTATTTTATTACTTCCCTTCTACGTGACTTTACCGAAAGAACCAAGAAGATACAATACAAAATAATATATATGCAGTGAATACGAGTAAAATAAGGTAATTACTAATAAAAAGCCCCTATTGTAGGCTGAAGTCTTATACCGTTGGTTGATTCTTTTGTTAAGTTTTTCGTTAAGGAAAACGTTAAAGAAAATCCGAGTTGCAAGTTGTTTTTCTCTGCTCTGCACATTATCCATGCATCTCCAGACGACTTGGGAAGGTTAGGCCATCGACCTTTCATCCATCTGGATATCTCTGACCTCTCTGTGCTCCGAAGTCTTGCCGTTTAATGGCCTTCCACGTTTTTTTCCTGGTGTGGCATGCGAGGGTTAGCGGGTTGTTTAAATATTTAATTTAAAAAATATATATATTTTTTGGCCTAATTATTCTTAATATAATTTTTTGGAAAAAGGGGCATAGATACAACAATCTGCACTTTTAAAAATTATCAGTGGTCGATTTGGCCACTGGCTATTTTTAAACAAAATAAATGCCCCTTTTTTTTCGTTATGAACCCATCAGCCGCCCTCGTGTTTCAGTTGTTATTCCTTACAACGCGCGCGTGCGTATCACAAACTTAACATGGTTACATTTGAAATAAGGAAAAAAAATGTTAAACATCAAGGCAACAAGTTACATCGGTTCTTATCCATCATAACTACTGAAAAAAATGTTTGATTACAATTTTTTTAAATATATTTTTTTTAAAATTATTGAAAAAAAATTAGTTCCTGGGAAACGCTAAGTAGTGGTTTCGAACGCATTTATGCGTTATTTTCCTCATGTTACCTCCTTGCCATATTTTTTTCCAAGTTACGAGTGTCTGGTTTACCACTTATCGCTTTGATCATTCGATCACGGTTTGTTGGTTTGTTTTTGTAATTGCTCATGTCACTCCCTCGCGTCGTGGGAGTGTGTGGTCTAAAATTGTGTTGCACATAACCAGAACTCGCGCACACAACCAACTTTTGCACTCCGTTATCAGTGGCACTTGCCATCCTCGCGACAACATGCACCTTTGCCGAGTCAGTGTGTCGATTCAATTCTGTGCCCCGTGGTGTCTCCCCCTCCGTGCCCGTGAGTGTGCTGGATTTCGACACAACTCTCGATACGTCTGGATATTCACCTCCTCAATTTCAGCACTCCGATTTACATTCATTTTTGTGTCATTGGAATACCCTCCATTAAAATGCTGACGCCTGCACTCCTCAGGGCGTGTCTCTGTGCTCCATCTCCCTGCACCCCCATCGCGCGATCCTGCGACGTGCTGCGCTGTTTTCCTTGCGCGATCCGGTCCTTCTCTTTGTCTCCGCTGTCTGTTATCTACTGTCCGATCACACTTCGCTGCAGTCATGTTTTTACGTGAATCAATTACGGGAGCAGTGTTTGCGTTCTCTACCACATTATTCGAATTGGTACTCGACGCATTTAGTTTTTCCTTATTATCTGTCTCTCTGTTCCCTCCTGGCACAGTCGGCGGGGGAATCGGTCGGAAATGGGCAAACCGTGTTTGACCTCCCCTGTGCCGTCGCATCGGGTACTGATATGGTTCTGCTCTTGACCCCCACATCCTACGATTTATGTAAATATTAGGCCCCGTGCTCCTCCAATCTGTGTGCCACATTTTTTTTGGATTGTTACCTTGCCATCTGTGTGTGTAATTTTGACCTTGCGTGTGCCGGGGCATGGGGTGCTGATATGATTGTGCCCTTGACCTCCACATTCTGCGATTCTCATGAATGTTTGGCTTTGTGCCGCTCTCATTTGTGTGCCAACCTCTCTCTGGGTTATTTTGCCATCTGTGCGTGAGTGTTCGCTCCTCTCTGCATTTTGGGACTGCTCGGTAATTTTTATTTCTCTCCGAGAGGCTGGGTTCATTATCCCTCTCCCTGTGTTCTGGATCCGAATTATGATTCTTAGCTCTGTACAACCATGTCATGTACGCATTGCTCTCTATGCGGCATAAGGAGGCTGTTTCTGGGTTCAAAACCATTCTCATAATTTCTGTAATCTCTGGACTCAAGGATTCAAAAAACATAATTTTAAACATATTGTCCCCTTCGTGATACTGATGCACAGCCTGCATAATATGCTTGTTTAAATTGTAGGAGATAATCACGCAGGTCATGGTCCATGCCCTGGGTAATCGATTTTACAGCATAAAACCCCTCAGTGAGTGTCAAATATTCTCCAAACTTCCGAATCACTGCCAGGCTCAGTTGTTTGAAATCATTCCTAACCTTGTATGGTAGCGACTTTACCCATGGTATAGATTGTCCATGTAAACTCCTTTTCAACAGACTCGCTTTCTCATCCCGTCTCCTCAGACCTCTGATCATTGCCTCCTCTTCTACTGTTGCGATGTGGGTGTGTATATCCCTGTTCTTATTGTGTGGGTCAAAATCGGGAATTCTGACGAGAGCTTTGTCCATCAATTTAAGGCTTTTACTGTTGAAAGAGTATTCAGAAAGTTGGTCGTCGTCAGAGGAGTCTTCGTCAGACGAGCTGTCACTTTGATGTGTGCTGTGTCGGGCATGTTGCCAATTCCCTGCAGTTTTTGCCTCTGCTCTTTGTGGAGCGTTTTCTGGCAACTTTATTTTAAGATTTTGCCTCCCTCTAGCTTCGGGGTTGTCAGTTCCCCCTTTTTTATTTTCATCTGTATCTCTCCATCCCTTCTCTCGAATTGTGAGGGATTTTCTTTGTCAAGGATATTTTGATCGATAGCCATAATTTTTGTACGATCTGTCCCTGGACTATGTCCACGTACCCAAGAGTGTTGTGTATTGCTACTTTCATATTTATTCTGTGGATCAACGTCTGTGAGTTTCGCTGGTGTCGCGAGCACTGATTTAGACGGTTTCTCTCCCGTTTCCTTTCCGAATTTTTCCTCATTCCACAATCTCTGTCTGTATGCCTGTGTGAGAAGGCATGAGTCCTGTCCTGCTTTTCCTGCAGTTTTTACATCGTGTTCACCTTCGTCACATTTTATCCAGTCAATTAGTTTCCCTCGGAGTGTCTTAGTGTCATAGATACAGCTCCCTTCCCATATGTCTCTCTGCCTTGTCTGTTCTGTAGCAGAACTGCCTGTACATTTTAATACGAGTTCCCAGTATTCCGCAATCCATTCAAAAATTCCTCCTAATCCTAGCATCTCATGTGTGGCAGAAGCTATTCCCCTTCAGAGTGCATATAAGAGCAATTGTATCAGGATGCAATCGGTTCGATATGATATTACCTTAATCTCACTGTCTTTGTTCCAACCTGCTATTCTGGAGTTTCGCCTCAGAGTGCGTTTTTTTTAGTTTTACGCCCGTTTACAATCACAAGGCAATGTTGGATCACAATACTCTGGTTAACACGTAGTGATTCGTTCCTTCATCCATGCAAAACACTGTCTGCGAGAGATCCCGGCGAGCCACCCATTATGTTGTATATGCCGGATTATGAAATTTTGATAAAAATGATAATTAATAAAAATCAGAAAAAATTGCGTAATTCGCATAAATTCTGCTAATGTATATAATGGTATGTATAAGTTATGATACTCACGGAGAAAATCGTATAAATTTATGCAAATGCTTGCAATTATGTTAATGTGTGCAGTTATGATATTTAGGCTTAGCTTCGTTATCCAGAGTTGCATCAATCAGGATAAAACGATTATCTTTGATTAACATTTATTGATTATCTTAGTGTGTTTATATTATGTTAGGTCTCCAAATTCATATCTCAACGCAGGATACCGTTCTTATAAATAAGACAGTTTTGCATGGACTTGGAAAGAAACACTCAAACGCTTTTGTTAAGCAATTTTAATTCTAAACAAAAATATGACACTCTAATATGCAAAGGCGAAAGCATACGTCAATAGATTCATGAGCAAGATTATGCAATTAACGAAAATGAATGACTAAAACACTTCTTATTCATGTAACTCGACGGCAGCAACTGCTTTGCACAATCAGTTGATATTGAACGCACCACCTTGAAATGGCAACCCTTTTTGAAACACAAAGATAACTCTTTGAAAGTCTTATTCATGTGCGTGTTGTGTGTGCGTTGTCCCATTGTAAAATTAATTATTTTTTTAGAACCGGGAATTGTGTCGTTAGCTTGCGGGGGGTGGGAGAGGGGTTATACCACCAACGACCAGAGAGGTTCCCTTTTGCTTGGGCATGGCCGCAGCGAGCTCGTCCTGCTCGGGCGTGTCTGTGCTCGTGCGCTCTCTCTCTCCACTGCTAGATGAGTGGCGTCGGCACGACGCTCGCCGTCGTGGCGCGCGATGATTCCGTCGTCGGATAGCGCGCAGTTCCTCCGCTGCGGGATGACGAGTCGGCACGACGCTCGGTGACGCCCGAGTGGTGCTGCTCAAGCGCTCTCTCTCTCCACTGCTAGATGAGTGGCGTCAGCACGACGCTCCTTGAAGAAACGTGGTTGCTTGGCACTTGATGGCGCCTGGGGCTTGGTGCTGCTCGTGCACTCTCTCTCTCTCTCCGCTGCTAGATGGAGCGGCGTTGGCACGATGTTCCTTGAAGAAACTTGGTTGCTTGGCGCTTGATGGTACCTGGGGCTTGGTGCTGCTCGTGTGCTCTCTCCCTCCACTGCTAGATGAGTGGTGTCGGCACGACGCTCGCCTTCGGCGGTGCCCAATAGCGCTCGCAGCTCATCCACAGGTCGCCAGTGCTGACACTCTTTCTCGGTTGCTCCGTTCTCTCTCCTTGCTTTCAACTTTGGCGTGCAGCTGACAGCTTCATACGGGCACTCGCTGATGCCTCTCCCGCCCTTACTTCAGGGCTTCGCTGGTTCAGGTTCTCTCACGAGAATGATAGCTGGAATTTCGCAAGCTTCACTCGCACTTAACCACACCTCGCCACTTCGTTCTGCGAGAAGCGACACCGGCCATCGGTATCGGTGTTTGCTCCCTCACGACGGCACCGCCACCGGAGCACGGCTGAAACCCAGCCTCGACCCAGGCTGAACGCAGACTTCTGCCACTTAAATGACCCCTCCTCTTGCCATCTCTCCTCGAGGCACGATGCGCCCCAAATCAGCCTCCCTCGCAACGCTGCGTCGCAAGCCGAGTCACGAGACTGAGCGCGACTCGAACCAGACTGCACTGCGTGATGTGCGTTGTGCTTAAAACCCAAAAACGTGAAAAAAATAGACGCTAGGAGTGTCAGGCACAGACCTCCCCTTCGCGACTCTTTGACCCCCTTCTTGCGCATCTCTTGCGAGAGAAACAACAAAACCGAAAAAACAGACACCCTCCCGACCCCTCCTCGTGACCGCCCTGACCCCCCACTCCCTCTGAGTGGGTCATCCCAAGGCCAGACCCCGCCATACGTATTTCATGGCACGCGTGTGCTTGTGCCAAACCGTTGGAAGATAAAGGTGGCGGGGAGGTCCTGACGTTTGTTGTCTATCTGTATACAGGGATTGAACTGTTTAACTCGAGTTATATTTTAATGTCCTGAGGTTAAGTGTAACTAAGTTTCCACTTAAGCTTTCTTGACTGCTGGAGTTCATATTATTTAGTTTTTCGTAAGGTCATGTAGATAGAAACATACAATTCAAAATAATATATATGCGGTGAATACGAGTAAAATAAGGGAATTACTAATAAAAAGCCCCTATTGTAGGCTGCAGTCTTATACCGTTGGTTGATTCTTTTTGTTAAGTTTCTACTTTTCGTTAAGGAAAACGTTAAAGAAAACGCGAGTTGCAACAGTTGTTTTTCTTTGCTCTGCACGTTATCCATGCATCTCCAGACGTCTTGGGAAGGTTAGGCCATCGACCTTTCGTCCATCTGGATATCTCTGACCACTCTGTGCTCCGAAGTCTTGCCGTTTAATGGCCTTCCACGTTTTTTTTTCCTGGTGTGGCATGCGAGGGTTAGCGGGTTGTTTCATTATTTAATTTTAAAAAATTTGGCCTAATTATTCTTAATATTAATTTTTAGAAAAAGGGGCATAGATACAACAATGTGAAGGCCTGTGTGTGTTCCGGCTCCTCCAGCGTACTGAGCTCGCAGCCAGGCCCATCTCCCGCTGCAGGAGCAAATGGGCCTGGATGCGCCTGGCCACCTGCAGGGAGCAGAAGTCGCTGTCGTCCACGGCGTGGACCTGGAGCTCCTGCGCCAACGCCAGCAACTTCTCCATGACGAGGGCATCGATGCCCTCCACCTCCATCCGGGGGTAGGCCACCTTGGCCAACACCAGCAGTGCGCTACGGAACGCAAGCGGTGACTTGGAGTCCCCGCGCCTCCGTGCGGCGAAGCGGTGCCGGGTGTTGGATTGAGGTCCGTAAATTGCTGCCATCCGCTGCATTGCTTGGTGCGGCGTAGAGCGCTCGGCTGGTAGGATGGTCACCAGGGCAGGGTTTAGTAAAGATAGACACACCGTACAACAAATATAGTGTTAAGGCTTATAGCAGAGAAAGCATAAATCATTCGATTCCACTAAGCAAGCTATAACGTGGGCAATATTAAGATCATACGGAGTAAGTTACCTAAAACATAGTTTCAGTCCGGGTACCAAAGGCTGCACACAAAAAAACACATCGTGTTCAAGTCGGCTCTACACTCAATTTGGCTAAATTCCAGGCGTGAGAATGAAAACTATATTGGGTTTGACTGTAGTGCAACGAATGATCACACCTCCTGGGTCGTGCAGTCACAGCCACAGTGGCGAGACGTTATCTTCCTTGCCTGGTACGCAGAGTCCGTCGGTTCGATAGAAACCCTGACGCCTGCTGCTGTATATTTAGAGTTTGCGTCTCGCTCTCCCCCTTGGTGATCGCATGGATCATTCTCTGGGTTCCTCCAGCTTTCCCCTCTTCATTGCAAGGCCCGCTGGCCACTGGCGGCCCCTTGTGGCCTTTAGTTGCGGCCCCTGACGTGCGGTCCCCCGACAATACACAAATGTGAGAAGACCCCATTGTGCTACCAAACCAAATGGTTTGAAATGTGTCAGCACTCGCAACACGAGCGTCGCGGTCAGCAGCATCAAGCTACAATTTGTTAAAAGTGCTAATATTTGTATTGGTGAAATACACCCCTTCTGCACTTATCCGTTTTCTATTCTTAAATTTGGTATTTCTCTCCACTCGAGCCATCACAGCTCACATACTACATTATCTACTTTACTTTTATCATTGTTTAATTTACTTTAAAACTAGCTTTACTACCCGGCTTTGCCTGGGACTTAGATTCATCACGCCCGGCCGCCTTTGTCCCTCCAGTGGCGATGTTCACACACCACACCAGTTACTTGTTTTAGGCCGAGTTGACCTAGGGGAGGTCCAGTACCGGTTCAAATAATCGTCACTGGTGGTAAACGTGAGCGGGTATCGAACTCGGGTCGCCGAGTTCGTAGCGCAGCGCGCGATCACTATGCAGTCGCTGCCCCCCCCCCCCACACACACAGGATAAAGACAAATTTCCATTTTTTGTATATATATATAGATGTTACGCATGCATAAACATACATAAAAATGCAACAAAATACGCATTAACCAACTTACACTCATAATAAATGAGGAATAAAGATACATTTGTCGATCGAGTTGGGAGCTTGGAATGTAACTCCTATTTACATTCTTTATTAATGGAAATTAGTGTTCGATTAACACGATTTCACCTTCCGATAACATTTTCAAGAACGCATCATGGTAATCGGGAGCTGCCTGTACATAGTGCGTTGCTTAGGTTACAATTAGATCAACGTTAACGGCAGCAAAAGGTACTTGCTCAGGTTATGACCAGATAAACACGGTCCTAATAGCGAGTGATCAAAGTCTAGACTCTAGAGCTCAGTCAAGTAAGCAGGAATGTAAAACTATGGAGGTTGAACTTCCTTCACACCATACGTAGCCAACCATGCTAATGAGCTCAGGTCTCCAAGACACCTGGTGGGCCTCACCTGGTAAAATAAAAAATATAAAAAAAATGTGTTTACATGGCCAGGCAAGGTGCAGAGATCGCACACCCCAAAAACATTTTTTTAGGTTAGATCGCGTAAATATTAATGTCATTAATCCACCACTACCCTACACAATTAGTCAACTTCGTCACAAACAAAACGTGCCAATAAATTACGCCATTAGCACACTGGTGTTTTGTAGAGTAAACCCACATTTACAGTTTGAATACTGTGATATTTCAGGCAATTTTCCAGAATCGCACACTTGCAGGATTCAAAATGCCTTGGATAAGAACAAGCAGGGTTGCAGAAGTGGCAATGTTGCAATTCTGAGCTTGACTGGGGATAGGCACTTCGAGGTGTCTCCTGTTCCTGGTACTCTATTTTAAGGTTGCACTCATTTACACATGTAGTGACTGGGAATGTCACTGTGGTGCCAGGCCTGCGAGTCCACGGCGGGATGTATCCTGTTGTGTGTACACCCCGAACACGTGGTGTAGTACCAGCCCTAGTGGGGGCTTGAGAGCCTTCGGGCAAAAGCGAGAGAGATTGCGAAGGTGGGCGGGGCGAGAGGCGGAGCCAGCCCCATCAAGCTTGAAGAAGCCTCCAGCTTGTGGTCCGGACCGGGATAGCGGAACCGTGTCTAGTTCTGCTGTAGCGTGGTTAGTTGGGTGGTCACCACCCGAGAGTGTGTTGTGTTAATAGCCTGGAGTATGTTGTGCAAATCGTTTAAATAAAACGTGTTGCTCCCTAAGACAACGTCTGCGACTCAGTTGGACTCACTACACACACACACAAAGTGATTGCCACAAATGAACCACAATACCTTGTTGATTTCATCAAGGTGCATAAACCACCATCACGCAAACTCCAGTCATCATCACAGCAGCAGCGCTTTTGGCTATGCAATAAAGATGGTCACCGCATCATGCGCTTTCAGATGCGTTTCTGTGGCCGTCTGGAACACTCTTCCTTCTGATATTAGGAAGCGACTGAAGCAATGCATTGTAAACATTTTAATGAAACATTTTTTCCTTACAACTGCTTTTTGTGTGATTAGCACGGTTGGCTATGTACGGTGCGAAAAAGGTTCAACGTAAATATATACATACTGACACCGTTACCATGTCCTGAGATCGAATCTCAGGCATCTACAGTCACTGGCACTGTCACAGTGCCCTTATTCACTCAATCACCCATCATCAGTCTCATCAGGCTTTGCTTGAATCCAAGCTGGTGAATTGACAAGTTTACAGGCAAGGACCCTCCACTTGAAGAGATGAACAAAACTAAAAACTAAACTTTGTATTTTATCATATAAGGCCCACTGAGCTATATAGCTCTTTGTCAAGAAGCAACCTGGCTATCAGAAATTATAGCTCAACGAAGTTGCCTATTATTCTCGAGGGAAAACCCGGAGGGCCCGGAGAAAAACCCACATGACTCGGGGAGAGATTTGCAAAAATAAACAGGCATTGTCAGCGTCAACCCACCATCTCCTGTATATCAGGTGAGGTCCTTAGCACCTTGCCACCGTGGCGAGGAGACTTGTCATCTGCATATCAATTTTATTTATATTTTGACACCCACTCTGTATATAGTTGTATGTTCTCCCCCTGTTCTGCATGGGTTTCCTCCGTGTTCTTGTGTTCCCCCTCCGAATAGCTAAATACAATACAGTAGAACCTCTGGTCACGACCATAATTCGTTCCATAACTTTGGTCGCAACCCGATTTGGTCGTGACTCGAACCTAATTTCCCCATTGGATTGTATATAAATACGATTAATCCGTTCCAGACTCCAACGAACTGTATATAAATATATATTTTTAAAGATTTTTAAGCACAAAAATAGTTAATTATGCCATAGAATTCACAGTGCAATACTAAACTAAATGTAAAAACATTGAATAACACTGAGAAAACCTTGAACAGAGAAAACTAACATTGCCGCGTCAAGGTTTAGAATCGTTTAACAAGATGATTGTTTCGTCTGCTACATCAGTCGGTCGATTCTGAGAAAGAGAATATTAATATGAGCAATTCATGCTTCTATTGAAAGTAAGTTAACAGTAATATTTGGGTACAGTATTGTTTTTGGAAGCATTCAGGGTAATATCGTATGAACGTTTACTTCACCGCATCATCGTATGAATGATTCGAGAAGAGATTAACGGATTCTTATGTTAGCGATTTACGTACTCAACGGCTTGAATGAGGGGGGAGGGGTATGATTACACTTACAAAATAAATATCTTTCTAGGAATTTTATATAACAAAAGTTATATAGATAACTGTTACGCTTTGTGTTGTTTGTAAACAAACAATGTAAAAACATTGTAAACAAACAACAGGAAATTTGGCGCTTACAAAAAAAAAATGGCGCGGAAGGGGAAATCGGCCGCGGTCGTGTTTGATCGCCACCCGAGTTTGTGTTCATGACCAGATTAAAAAATGTTGTGAATTTTTTGGTCGTAACCCGATTTGGTCGTGGTCAGAAGCGAACGTGACCAGAGGTTCTACTGTAATAAAGATTCCCCCACACCCCCATGTAGCCTTTAACAGACAGTTGAACCTAGTGCTGTTAGCTAGCACCTATGTAGGCCGGCACGGCACATAAGGGGGTGGGGGGTGGACAGCACCACACCGGAACACCTTTGTCTCTCTCGTGGCGATGTTTACACACTGCACCAGGCACTCATTTGAGGCTGAGTGGACCTTGGGGGGGCTCAGGACTAGTTCAGTATAATCATCACTGGTGTTGACCGTGAGAGTGGGAATCGAACCAGGGTCGCCGGGTTCATAGCACTCCCCTACAGCAAAAAACACACAGATGCACAAACAGAATGCAACTGCTGTCAGTCAAACATGCTATCGCAAAATTTCCTGGCTAAATCGATAACCCTCACCACCCACATCTCATCCTCAACATTACACGCATCCTCTCCAGTCTCTCCTCCACTTCGGTGGAAGGGACAGTTTCAGCGCTCGCTCATTCATTTGGGTGATACATTAGCGAGCCATTAACGACCTCGCCCGGTATACAAGAAGTCGTGGGTTCTATCCAAACGCTGATGCCCGTATATATGGAGTTTGCATTTCTCTCTCGCCGTCATCATGTAGATTTTCTCTGGGGGCTCCAGTTTTTTTCCCTGCAATACATTTCCACGTGATAAGCCAGATGGTTTGGCAATCATTGATGGCCAGGTTGCTTTTGAAAAAAAGCTAAATAGCTCAGTGGGCCTTACTTTGTAAAACAAAAATAGTTTAATAGTTAAATGTATCCCCACGTGTCCGATGTCTCATCCTCCAGTTTCACGCCACCGCCGCCTTTGCTGTCGCTTCTCGGGGACGTTGCATATTCCACCTTCACGCCCGGCCAAGTATCGAAGCTAGGCATCCTTCCTCCTCCTGCTCCTCCGCTCTCCCCGTTTTGTGCCGCGAGATCGGGGGGAGGACATCCCTTGTCGCTTTCGCTTCCCTCGTGCTCCTGCTTCACTATGACTGCCGACAGAGTGGACGAGAAGGCAGGGCTCCAGCCTCTGCATTCCCGTTCATGTGTGGAGCCTCCGAGTCGTTGCTGTTGCTCCGTTGGCCACGTTCCAGAGCCGGCGCTCCCTTCGGCTTGCCGGGTCGCGGTAACCCCCCGGCCACTCCTCCCACGCCTTTTCCTCCCCCCCTTCTTGGCGTGGCGGCTCCGATGGCGGTCGAGGTAGCGCGCGAGCGTGAACGTCTTGCCGCACGCGCTGCACTCGAACGGCCGGTCTGCCGCATGCGTCGCTCGGTGGCTTTTCAGGTAGCGCGCCTGCGCAAATGCCCGGCCGCAGGTGTCGCACTTGAAGGGCCTCTCGGCCGCATGCGTTGCCCGGTGCTTGTCCAGGTGGCCCGACTCGGAGAAAGCCCGGCCACAGGCATTGCACTCATAGGGCTTCTCACCTGTGTGCTTCCTCTCATGGATGCGGAGATTCCAGGCGGTCCCAAAGGCCTTACCGCATAGGGCGCATGCGAAGGGCCTCTCACCCGTGTGTGTCCTCCGGTGCTTGTCGAGGTGGCCCGATTCGGAGAACGCCTTCCCGCAGGCATCGCACTTGAAGGGCTTCTCGCCCGTATGCTTCCTCTTGTGGTTCTGGAGGTTCCAGGAAGTCGTGAAGGCCTTTCCACAGGAGGCGCACGCGAAGGGCCTTTCGCCTGTGTGCGTCCTCTGGTGGATCGTCATGCTGCCCAGGTGATCTGTGCTGTAGGGACACAGCCCGCACTGGTGCCTCTTGGTGGCGGGCTGCGGTGAGCAACCGCGCTCCATGTGATAGACGCCGCGGAGAGGGGCTTGAGTGGCAGAGGGGGGAATGGGGAGGCTGCGGGCGGAAAAGAGCCACAAAACAGTCACCCCGCTTACTCGCTCACCCAATAACAACAACTGTTAACCATTAACTGATGGAGTTATGTCACGAAGGCACTTGTGCCAGGCTAGATGCACCCTGAGGCCAAGTGAAGTGATGAAGGCTCGTTGCTGGCAGGTGACAGGACAGATCAAAGTGCCATGGATTGACTGAGATGACTGGCAGATGGACCACCTGTGCTCCCTACTGTGCCAACTTGCCATGTATTAGATGCCCAGCGCTCCGCTCGTTGCTGCGAGCATTGCTCCTCCAGCCTCCACTGTTGCTGGAAGGTGAATGCCTTCAATTGCCTAGATGCGTCCTTTACAGAGGCCAATACTGACCACGCAAAGCTCCAAATCCTCCTGTACTATACCTGCCCATCTCTTCTCTCACCCATGCCATGCCCATTTAGCTCCGTGAAGCTGCTTGGGGAATGCGGTGACTGGGCATGCGGGCTACATGGTCCAGCCAACGAAGCCTTACCTGACGGAGGAGCTCACTGCTGGGACTGTATCAAGATCTTTCAAGGATCTGCGAGCTCTTCACATAATCCATTTTTGTAAACCCAGGTTGGATCATAGGCAAGCCAGCATAAATGTTTTAAACCGGTTCAGATTTTTCTTTAAATGGCTCCACGCTTTGCAAGCATTAAGGGAGGGCATAACTATGGAGCAAAAGCCCAGATAGCTTCCAAAGTGTTATGCAGGTGATGAAAAGATGCTACTTAACTGATTTGGGGGACCTCTGCTGCCAAACCAAAGTTAGGCAAAAGCAAACTACCCAAGGTGCATAGGCACACTATCCTGGCATCGATCAGCCTCCCATTGTATCTGTACCAGATGGAAATTCCTCTGGTACAGCCATAGAAAGATTCTCGAACTACAGTTGATCATCGATTATCCGGCATGCGATTATTTGGGTTAAAATGTTATCCGGTGGTCCCGAGCCAATCCGGCGGAACCGGAATAAAACGCTCCAAAGGTTGTACCAGTCTGGTGATCGGCACCACGTGTGGGACAAAATAAGTGGCTATGCTTGATTTCAGTGTGAAATATTATATACAGTGCATTATACACCACATACAACTTAAACAATGAAAATACTGCACGTATACAGTGGACTCTCAATTATCCACGTGCGGTTTATCCGATTTGCAGATTAACCGTGCACCTGATATTTTTACATGAATAAATAACTTATGGATTTTCCCTTAAGTCCAAATAAAACATCTAAAAACAGTAATACATTGTTGTCGGAAATATTTATTACAAGCGCATAAGCTGACCAAATTTGTGCTCCATTTAATCCGAAATATATGTGATCACCTAACAGTATAGCAGTTGCATATATTTACAACAGTGGGCAGTTTGATATATTTTGATTGGCTTGGCTCTGCTATCCACTTAGGGTGCAGAGTCTTCTGAGCACAGGAAATTGTTATCACTTTTTCATGGACTTTTCTAATAAAACAAGATCAATACATTCTTTACCAACAATTTTAATTTTGTTCATTAATAAACTAGACTTCTTAAATTAAACATAATGTATACCTATTGTAGTGATTTTTGGTTAAGGGTAAAATTTATATTTTTGGATTATCCGCAATTTTTAATTATCAGCGGCCATCCTCCCCGTCATTAACACAGATTATCGAGTCTTCTGGACACATTTTTCATGACTAACTAGAGTAATAAAAAATATATGTTCAAAATTGTATGAGTCAGATGACATCCCTGTCTCACCAAGGTGAACAGGGAAAGGCTTCGACTCCCAGCCATGCAGCTTTACCCAGTCCTTAATGATTGTGAGCAGAGTCAAGGACCTGGAAAGCATAAAGAACAACCCATTGCCAATGGGGAAACCATGAAACAGCACACAAGGGGTTTGGTGTTCAGCACCATACCCGGCCACCTTTGTATCCCCAGTGATGTTTCCACATCACAACAGGTATGCATTTTTAGCTGAGCCAATCTTGGCAACCCCAGAACTGGTTTAAATATTTGTCACTATTGGCCGCAAGTGGGAATCGAACTCTGGACGTTGGGTTAATAGGGCAGTGCGCTAACCGCTAAACTACAGCTCCCCACCCACCCAACCACCAACCCACCCAACCACCAACCCACCCAACCATCCACCCAACCAACCATGCACCTACACCCCCATCCATTCACCCACTCATACCCCCACTCACTCACCCAAGCACCCCCACACTCAGCAACCCATCCAACTTCTCACTCACCCACCCACCCACAACTACCCACAACTACCCACTCACACCTTCATTCACCATCTCACCCACACAACAACTGCCATTCGCCACTAAGTGGCGGAGACGTCACCACGACGCTTGTGCCAGGTCATGTGCACCTCGAGGCCACGTGAAGTGTCGAACGCCCGCTGGCAGGAGGTCACGGGGCAGACCCAGGTGCCACGGGTCGACTGACTGGGATGACCGAGATGACTAGCTGATGCACCACCTGTGCACCCTACTGTGCCAACTTGCTGTGCTTTAGCCACCCGGCGCTCCACTCGTTGTTTTGAGCGTCGCTCCTCCGCCCTCCGTTGTTGTTGGAGGGCGACTGCCTCCAACTGCCCAGTAGCGTCCTTCACGAGCCTCCTCCATTGAGGCCGATCTTGACACCGCTGGTACCAGTCATCGGCAAGTCCACTCAGCTCCACGACCTTCTGTACCACATCACTCCATCTCTTCTCTAGCCCGTGCCGCGCCCGTTTAGCCCCCTCGATCCGGCCGAACAAAAGCTGTTGAGGCATGCGGTGGCTGGGCATGCGGGCTACATGACCCAGCCAATGCAGCCTTGCCTGCCGGAGCTCACCGATTGGACTTTGCCCAGATCTTTGCAAGGTTTTTTGAGCTCTCACACAATCCAGCCTGGTTAAACCCAGGATGGATCATAGGCAGGCCAGCTTAAATGTTTCTAACCGGCGAAGATGCTCCATTAGGGGGGTCTACGTTTCGCAAGCGTAGAGAAGGGAGGGAATAACCGTGGCCGAGAAGACCTTAAGCTTCGTGCAGAGCGACAAATCAGGCAGCTTCCACACAGCGTTATGCAACCGATGAAATTATATTGCCGCTCGACTGATTCGGAGTGAGACCTCCGCTGCCAAACCGGAGCCGGTCATGAGCACGCTGCCCAGGTATGGGAAACTCTCCACTCTCTCTACTACTGCCCCATCACCGATTGGGAGTTGTGGGGGTGGAATGTCCGATGGTACAAAATACCCAGGCAGGTGCTTAGTTTTGGTGGGGCTGATGGTAAGGCCGCACCTCTTAGTGGCACGCTCCAGTCTCAGCAGCAGCATCCCCAATTCCTCCTCTGAATGAGCAGCTATTACCAAATCATCGGCATACATAACGTGGTTGACCAATAGAGAGCCATCCCTTGATCGCACCCGGGCATCGATCAGCCTCCCATTATATCTGTACCAAATGGAACTTCCCCCGGTACAGCTTCACGAACTATGTGGTCAAAATAGATGTTAAATAATGTGGGAGCCAGAGGACATCCCTGTTGCACCCCAAGGTGTACAGGAAAAGGCTCTGACTCCCAGCCACGTAGTTTTACCCGGGCCCGCTCACCATCATGAAGTTCCTTAATGATCGTGAGCAGAGGGTCAGGGACTCCAAAAGCACGAAGAACAACCCAGAGCCCAGGCCTACTGATGGTATCATAGGCCTTGACCAGGTCAATAAAGCAGAGATGTAGGTCTTGTTGGAATTCCCTACACCTCTCCTGTAGCAGACGGACAGAAAATATGGCATCTGTGCAGGACCGCCCTTTCCTGAAACCACCCACTCACCCATCCACCTACCCACTCACTCAAACACCCACCCACCCACAAACCCACCCCATTCATCCACCCACCCAACCATCAACCCAGTCACTCACCCACCCACTCACAAACTCACCCACCCACTCACTCACAAACTCACCCACCCATTCATCCACCAACTCAACCATCCACCCAGTCACCCACCCACCCACACAGCCACCCACCCACCCACTCACCCCACCCACTCACCCACCAACCCACCGACCCATCCACTTACCCACCAATCCAACCACTCACCCACCCACCCACTCACCCATCCACTCACCCACCCATCCAGTCACTCACAAACTCACCCACCCATTCATCCACTAACTCAACCATCCACCCAGTCACTCACCCACCCACTCACAAACTCACCCAAGCATTCATCCACCAACTCAACCATCCACCCAGTCACTCACCCACTCACTCACCCACTCACCCAAAAAGCACATCCACCCCCACCCACCCACTCACAAACCCATCCACCCACTCACGCACCCATCCACCGACTCACCCACCCACCCACCCACTCACCCACGCACCTACCCACCCAGTCACTCACAAACTCACCCACCCATTAATCCACTAAATCAACCATCCACCCAGTCACTCACCCACCCACTCACAAACTCACCCACCCATGCATCCACCAACTCAACCATCCACCCAGTCACTCACCCACTCACACACCCAAACAGCCACTCAGCCACCCACCCAGTCACCCACCGACCCAACGACCCATCCACTTACCCACCAATCCACCCACTCACCCATTCACACATCCACCCCCACCCGCCCACTAACCCACTCACCCATCCACTCACTCACCCATCCACTAACTCACCCATCCACTCACTCACCCATCCACCCACTCACCCACCCACCCATCCATCCACCTACCCACAAACCCACCCATTCATCCACCAACTCAACCATCCACCCAATCACTCACTCACTCACTCACCCACTCACCCACTCACCCACTCATCCACTCACCCACACAGCCACTCAGCCACCCACCTACCCACTCACCGACCCATCCACTTACCCACCAATCCACCCACTCACCTAATCACCCATCTACCCACTCAATCACCCACTCACCCACTCACCCACACAGCCACTCAGCCACCCACCTACCCACTCACCGACCCATCCACTTACCCACCAATCCACCCACCAAGTCACTCACAAACTCACCCACCCATTCATCCACTAACTCAACCATCCACCCAGTCACTCAACCACCCACTCAAACTCACCCACCCATTCATCCACCAACTCAACCATCCACCCAGTCACTCACTCACCCACTCACCCAAACAGCCACTCAGCCACTCACCCACCCAGACACTCACCCACCCAGACACTCACCCACCCACTCACCCACCCACCCAGTCACCCACCCACCCACCGACCCATCCACTTACCCACCAATCCACCCACTCACCAATCCACCCACTCACCCATCCACGCCCACTCACTCACCCACCCGTTCACTCACCAAACCAACCACTCACTCACCCACTCACCCACCCACCGACCCACCCACTCACCCACTCACCCACCCACTCAGTCACTCACAAACTCACCCACCCATTCATCCACCAACTCAACCATCCACCCAGTCACTCACTCACCCACTCACACACTCACCCAAACAACCACTGAGCCACCCACTCAGCCACTCACCCACTCAGCCACTCACCCACCCACCCACCGACCCATCCACTTACCCACCAATCCACCCACTCACCCATCCACCCCCACCCGCCCACTAACCCACTCACCAATCCACCCACTCACCCATCCACTCACTCACCCATCCACTTACTCACCCATCCACCCACTCACTCACAAACTCACCCACCCATCCATCCACTAACTCAACCATCCATCTTGTCACTCACTCACCCACTCACTCACCCACCCATTCACCCAGTCACTCACCCATCCACCCACTCACTCACCCACTCACAAACTCAGCCACCCATCCATCCACTAACTCAACCATCCACCCAATCACTCACTCACTCACTAACCCACTCACCCACTCATCCACTCATCCACCCACCCACACAGCCACTCAGCCACCCATCCACCCACTCACCCATTCACTCATTCACTCACAAACTCACCCACCCATCCATCCACTAACTCAACCATCCATCTCGTCACTCACTCACCCACTCACTCACCCACCCATTCACCCAGTCACTCACCCATCCATCCACTCACTCACCCACTCACAAACTCAGCCACCCATCCATCCACTAACTCAACCATCCACCCAATCACTCACTCACTAACCCACTCATCCACCCACCCACACAGCCACTCAGCCACCCACCTACCCACTCACCGACCCATCCACTTACCCACCAATCCACCCACTCACCCAATCACCCATCTACCCACTCACCCACTCACTCACCCACTCACCCTCTCACCCACACAGCCACTCAGCCACCCACCTACCCACTCACCGACCCATCCACTTACCTACCAATCCACCCACCCAGTCACTCACAAAATCACCCACCCATTCATCCACTAACTCAACCATCCACCCAGTCACTCAACCACCCACTCACAAACTCACCCACGCATTCATCCTCCAACTCAACCATCCACCCAGTCACTCACCCAGTCACTCACTCACCCACTCACCCAAACAGCCACTCAGCCACTCACCCACCCAGACACTCACCCACCCAGACACTCACCCACCCAGACACTCACCCACCCACCGACCCATCCACTTACCCACCAATCCACCCACTCACCAATCCACCCACTCACCCATCCACTCACTCACCCATCCACCCACTCACTCATTCACTCACAAACTCACCCACCCATCCATCCACTAACTCAATCATCCATCTAGTCACTCACTCACCCACCCACTAATACACCCATCCACCCAGTCACTCACCCATCCACCTAGTCACTCACCCATCCACCCAGTCACTCACCCACTCACAAACTCAGCCACCCATCCATCCACTAACTCAACCATCCACCCAATCACTCACCCACCCACTCACGCACCCACCCAACCACTCACTCACTCAAAAAAAGACAAAGATCCACCATATAGCCTTAACAGACTGTAGGAGCAAGTGCTGTTAGCGAGCACCTATAAAGGCCGGAACGGTACACGAGGGAGTGGGTGCCCAGGATCACGCCCGACCACCTTTGTCTCCCCAGTGGCGATGTTTGCACACCACACCAGATACTCATTTAAGGCTAAGTCGACCTTGGGGAGGCCCAGGACCGGTTCAGATGATCGTCACTGGTCTTGGCCATGAGCGGAAATCGAACCCGGGTCGCCAGGTTCATAGCGCATCGCGCTAACCGCTACACGACCGCTCCCAACTAACCCACCCACTCACCCAGTGACCCACTTACCCACCCACTCACCCACTTACTCACCCACCCACGTAAAGCCGACACGCGGTGTTTTGTGACCAACACCACGCCAGACCGCCGTTGTCTCCCCGGTAGCGATGTTTACTACACACCGAACACGCTACTTATTTAAGGCTAAGTCGACTGAGGGGAGCCCCAGGGCCGGTTAAGTTAATCGTCACTCGTGTTGGTGGTCGTGAGCGGGAGTCAAACTCAGGTCGTTGGGTTCGTAACGCACCACGCTCATGACTGCACCACCAAATGCACTCACCCACTCGCTCACCTGTCCACTCACCAAAGACACCACACAGCATGAACAAGCTGGTGGTGCAAGTGCTGATAGCGAGCATCTATGACGGCCGGAACCGTGGCACACGGAGGGGTGGGTTGCCAGCACCACGCCTGGCCGCCTTTGTCTCCCTAGTGACTCCGTCCACACATCGCACCAGACAATCGTCACCGGTGGTAGCCGTGAGCGGGACTCGAACTCGGGTCGCCGGGTTCATAGCGCAGCGCGCAAGACGCCACTCTCCTCCTCCACACCCCCTCACCCCCTCACCCGCTCACTCACTCACTCACCCGCTCTCCCACCCGCCCCCTCACCACCTCTCCCACCCGCCCCCTCACCCCCTCAACCGCTCACTCACCCGCCCCCTCACTCACACGCCCCCTCACTCACACGCTCACTCACCCCCCCCTCACCCCCTCACCTGCTCGCTCACCCGCCCGCCCCCTCGCCCACCCCCTCGCCTCCTCACCCGCTCACTCACCCGCCCCCTCACCCATTCACTCACCCACCCGCTCACCCGTTCACCCGCCCCCTCACTCACCCGCTCACCGCTCACTTCTGACTTCCGCTTCCTGTGACGTCTGGCCCGCGAATAAACAGTCGGTGACGCGCTACAATTAACATAATTATTTAATTTAGCCTGAGAAAATTTACATAATATATGTTTGTGACGTCATGCTGATTAAAAATAAACGACGACGTTCGCCACTCAGAACCAATAATCTTTAGACTGCGGGAGGAATCCGATGAGCTAGGAAGCTCTATTTTGACAGATGTTCAGTATGGGCACGGGGTCAGCAGGTTACAACGGCAACACAATATTACTGGACATATGTGAACAAGAGCTTCATAGCTCATCGTATTCCTCCAGTATAAAGATGCGTTAATTAATATTTTACTTATATTGAATATCTGTAAAAAAATTTGCTTTATAGCTCATCAGAGTCCTCCAGTCTAAATATTCTGATTATAAAGACGCAATAGGAGTGCACTACATGTAAGTAAATAATACGTTCATTATATAAGTCCGACAGACAACAGGTACCATGGGTTGACTGCTGTGCCAAGCAAGGTGCATGATGAGGTCACGGGACAGACCTAGGTGCTATGGATTGACTGCTGTGCCAGGCTAGGTGCAGGAGGAGGGAACAATACGCAGGTGTCATGAGTTGTGATGATTAGCAGATGCACCAGCTGTACCCCATATTGTGCGAACTTGCTGCATTTTATCCGCTCGGCACTGTGAGCGTCGCTCATCTGCCCTCCGTTGTTGAAGGGCGACTGCCTCCAACTTGCCAGTAGCCTCACAGTACACCTAGTCTTGCACTGCCCAGTATCGCCCTTCAAGAGCCTCCTCCACTGACCCACTAATCGACTCGCCTACTTACTCACCGACTGTCTCAACATCGTCACTGGGGAGACACAAAGGCGGCCGGGCGTGGTCCTGGCTACACTAGCACCACTCTGGCAATATTCGAACCAGTCCTGGGCCTTACCTAGATCGACTTTGCCTTAAATTAGTACCTGGTGTGGTGTGTACACGTCACCACTAGGAACACAAAGGCGGTCGGGCGTGGTTCTGGCCACACCACCCCTTCATGTCATTTCAGGCCTTATACTTGCTACTCACCAACAGCCGGTCATGAGCACACTGCCCAGGTATGGGACATTCTCCACTCTCTCCACAACTGCCCCATCACCGATTGGGAGTTGTGGGGGTGGAGTGCCCGATGGTACAAAATACCCAGGCAGGTGCTTCGTTTTGGTGGGGTTGATGGTAAGGCACCACCTCTTAGTGGCACACTCCAGTTTCAGCAGCAGCGCCTCCAACTCCTCCTCTGAGTAAGCTGCAATTAGCAGGTCGTCGGCATACATAACGTGGTTGACCAATAGGGAGCCATCCCTTGACCGCACCTGGGCATCGATCAGCCTTCCATTATATATGTACCAGATGGAAATTCCTCCAGTACAGCTACTGAAGGCTTCACGAACTACGTGGTCGAAATATATGTTAAATAATGTTGGAGCCAGAGAACATCCCTCTGGCACCCCAAGGTGTGCAGGGAATGGCTCTGACTCCCGGCCACGTAGTTTTACACTCTAACACACACACACTCGACACACACACACCACACACACACGGAGCTAGCGCAGTAGCATAAACGGCTCCATCCCGGGCCCTTCCATGCTAGTTTTCAGCCTGGCAGTCCTCAGAGGATGACCTGGCCACGGTTTCCAGGACATGGAAGGGGCAGCTGACCCGGGCTGGAGAGATGGAGGTGGCCTGTTGGTGTAGACACGGACGAAGCTAAACACACGGCAAGTCCCAAGGCCACCCGTTAGGAGTCAATCTGATTCGTCTTATTATTGTTGTACAGAAATTATATTTAATAATAAGATGAATTAAACCCATTGAGACATTGCCTATGTTGCTAGTGTGGCCTGCATGAAATGTATCTAAGCTTGTGTGAGATATACTCTTTGGTTCTTTCGGTAAAGTCACGTAGGTAGAAAAATAATAGATCACGACGTTTCGATCGCAACACAAGCAATCGTCATCAGGTGGGACAACCACAGCAAGAAAAAACTGCCGAAGTAGGCGAGAGATCTGCCGTGGCACGAGGTTATATAGACCTCGGCAGTAGGGGGGGAGAAGGGGGGGGGGGAATCAAGATTGTGTGAGATACCCTGCTTGTGTGAGGTATCCTGGCTTGTGTGAGGCATCCTGGGTCGTCCACCTGTACTGCAGAGCAATTCCTTCCAATGGCCCAGTAATCTCAAACCACAACCAGTCCGGCACTGCCCAGTAGGAGCTCTCATGCGCCTCTTCCACAGAGGCCTATCTTGACAACGCTGGTACCAATGATCGGCAAATCGAATCATCTTCATTTGCTTCTGTCCCACATCGGTCATCTTGTCAAGCCCGTGCCGCACCCATTTAGTCCCCTCGATCCTGCCAAACAAAAGCTGCTAGGACGTGCAGTGGCTTGGCTTGCGGGCTACCATGACTTCGCCAACCAGCATCGCCTGCAGGAGGAGCTCACTCAATGGGACTGTGTCTATGCCATCCATCACCCTCCGTGTTGGGTGATTGATGTGTGTGGGGAGTGTGATGTCGAGTGTGGAAGGTGTGCGCGTGTTGTTTATGCGATGCGAGTGTGTGAGAATGGCATATCTAATATAGAATTTAAGCTTTCGTGACTGCAGAAATTACTACACTCATTGTGTTTTTCGGTAAAGTCACGTATGTAGAAATAAAATCAAATTTAACTAACTAAAATTAAAATAAATCACGACGTTTCGAACGCAGCACAAGCGATCATCATAAGGTGGAAATGGGATGTGTGTGTTCTCTCGCTCTGTGTTTTACCCTATTTCCACCTGATGATGATCGCTTGTGTCGCGTTCGAAACGTCGTGATTTATTTTAAAAAAAATTCTGTTAAACTTTTTTTAAATTTCTACATACGTGACTTTACCGAAAAAACCAATGAGTAATGGCATATCTGTCAACCTCTTATTAGTGCCCTAACTTACTACAGACCAATTTAGACCGTATTGGTCACCCTGTGCCCCTTCTATATCTCAAAGCTCATCCTACAGTGTCCCATCACAAGGGCGAAACACAAACAAATCGACAAAAATTATGTTAATAAACAAAAACAGTTTTACGTATTAATTTGTATCATTGGTGTCAATTATGCTATTTATTATGCTGCTGTCTGTGATCTTGCATGCTGATGCTGCTTGCTTGATTTGTGGATGCACATACGGGGATCGCTCCTCTCCAGAGTAAAACGCAAAAAAGTTATCCCGCGACTTTTTTTTATTTGGCCACATGATTGTTTTTGTTGTTGTTGCCCGCAAGGAAACGACTGTACGCCGTATGGACCTGAACATTAAATATCCCTGCAGACGAATACGGAGTTAACGGTGATGGATTGACAGCTACGGGATGGCTGAGACATCCTCTCCGTTAGTATTTGCTTTTTGGCGTTGTATGATGTCACGTTCCGCGCTCGTCTTGTTTCAAATTACAAATGACGTCACGGGGTATTTGACATCATCGGTTAATGATTGACGTCACGCGACGCGGCGTTCGTGGGGAAAAAAAGGCGGGAAACTCGCAACCGCAATGGCGGCGCACGGAGGGGAGAGGGAGGAGGAGGCGATGAGTGGGAGCCCTGAGGGAAACGGCGGTGAGAGCGACTCCCTCGCCTTTGTCAGCACGATCAATCCGCCGCCTCTCGACTCCTCTCTGTCTACCTCCCTCTCTGCGTGTGAGTCTGTGTAAGGGTTCAGGATCTTATACTCTTAGGTTTTTTCGGTAAAGTCACGTAGGTAAAAATAAATAATAGAACTAAAATAATAAATCACGACGTTTCGGAGGCAACACAAGCTCCATTCATCAGGTGTAAAAAGGCACGGCAAAATAACTAGTGGGAGTTATTTGTGATGGGACATTAATATATAGGGCAGGGGTCCTCAAACTTTTAAAACAGGGAGCCAGTTCACTGTCCCTCAGACCGTTGGAGGGCCGGACTATAGTTAAAAAATAACTATGAACAAATTCCTATGCACACTGCATATATCTTATTTTGAAGTGAAGAAACAAAACGGGAACAAATACAATATTTAAAATGAAGAACAAGTAAAGTTAAATCAACAAACTTGCCAGTATTTCAATGGGAACTATGGGCCTGCTTTTGGCTAATGAGATGGTCAATGTCCGGTTCCATATTTGTCACTGCTAGTCGTAACAAGTGATGCAAGTGTGCATCTGTTAGTCTAGATCTGGTTGGAGATTTCAAATGTTTCATTCTGGAAAAAGTGTTCACAGACATAAGTGCTGCCAAAGATGGTTGCCATTTTGAGTGCATGGTTCCTGAGATGATATGTCTCAGAGGGGAGAGATGCATATAAATTATGAAGGCTGCTTGACTTGAATGCGTCTTTCAGAGAGTCACAATTCTGCAGTTCAGCCAGTTCCATTTGGTAAATTGTATCCACATTTTCAATGTCAATAGAAAAGGGTTACGGAAAAGCTGTATGTCCTGTTCATGGAGATGAAGCTCTTTAAATCCAAATTGGAACTCCTTTTGCAATTTTTCCAGTGAATCCACACATGTTTTGTTTGGGAATGCAACCAATGGTTTTTCCGCTAACAGATTTTGAGTTGTGGGGAGATGGCAGAAGTTTTCCTCCTTCACTTGTTTGATGAGGAGGCCTAATTTTACTTCAAATGCTTTGACATGTGATTGCATATCACAGATGAGCTTCCCCTTTCCTTGAAGTTGCACATTGAAACTGTTGAGTAGCTCTGTTACATCTGTCAGAAAGGCAAGGTGCCATTTCCATTCTGGATCATTGAGCTCTGGTACTTCTTTGTTTTTTAAAGCAGAAAAGCTGTAATCTGTGGAAGTAAGTCATAGAAACGTTTCAAAACTCTCCCTCGACTCAGCCAACGGACTTCTGTGTGATACAGAACATCTTCATAGTCAACATTTAGCTCAGACAGAAATTCCTGAAATTGTCTGTGGTTTAGTGCATGAGCTCTAATGAAG